TCCACAGTCCACAAAAGGGAAGTAGTCCCTTGCTTAGTAAAAGAAAATATAAGAAACATAACTGGGTCATGAAAAGATAGGAGCTGAGAAAGAGAGCAAGGAAGTAACAGCTTGCTCACAAGGGGCTTATGGAAGGGTTTTAGGCAAAGAAGCAGCAAAGACCTGAATTTACCTGCAAAATTGCAGAAAAAACCTGCCACTTGTCATGGTTTCTTTTCACTTCATATTATAGTGATTCCATTTCTTACCAGAAAGAGAGCACAGGCAATTCTGACATTGGATTTTGGGATTCTACAGATAGCTGTGTATATGAGTGTATTAAAGTCCAATGTTTGGTTTGTCCAAAACTGTGAGCTTTGGAGGGCGTGTGTGTGTCCATAATTTCCCAGATTAACGTATCCTCTGGAGCACCCAGCTGATCCACTATAAAGTGATGCAAGATACTTGATATTCATCTGATCCTCCCTGCAGATGAGCTGCCTACTGAGGGAAAATTCCAATTTTTAAGTGAAGAAAGGTTCAATCATCTCAATGCATATAGCTCAAGCCTATCTTAGAAACATAAGACACGGAGAGAGATGCTGTAAGAGAGGAATCAGGTTCTGATCTCTAGGGCAGAGTTTAAGTATTGCTTGAGGATCAGAAAGTTAGCAGTATTTCCTGGACAACTTCATACTGTACACAGCCCATTTTCACTCTAATCCCATTTCACAAGACAGGTTCTTATCTGCTATGCAGGTTGTCTTCATTTACTGTTCAAACTGTTAATTCACAGGTTACACTGCACAACTCTTAAGATCTCTTCTGAAGCCTGTAGCCCTCTTAAAAATACCTACAAATAACATAAGATTGAGTTATGTTCATAGTGTCTTGTAATAGTGCCAAATTCCAGATGAAAGGGGACTAGGAATCCTTTCTCCTTAGGAACACTAAAACACATCCCCATACAGCATGTGTGTTTCTGCACATACCAGCTCTTAAAACAATATATTCAGCAGGCTCCAGACCACAAATAACACACAGGAACTCCTGGGCAACTGGCTCTAGGTCGCCCGGCTTGAGCAGAGAGTTTGAACCAGATGGCCCCCATAGGTCCCTTCCAACTCCAGTGACTCTGTGATTCCACGAGCTCATACAGCTTCAGAATACTTTGCTGGTTTTCCACATATCTGACTTTACAAGGCAACTCAGAAAGCAGCCCCAGAAGATGTTTTAGCCAGGTGCCACATTACAAATTCTTAGTGTCTAAAGCAAGAAAAGCTACAGTAGTGACCAGTTACATAGGGAGAGGTGGTTCAGCATCTCCCCAGTCAGGAGCAGAATAATCTGACAGTGCAGTGTCCCCACCAGAGCGAATGATGAGGACACTGTTCAATTCAGCAGCTGCTCTCAAGCATACAATGACACTTGACTGTTAACATGCAAGTCTCCTTGATATAATGCTATGTGCAAAATCAGATAACCAGCAGAATACTCCATAGTAATCCCACTGTCCTCCTAAGGTACTGTATTCTCCTGCTGATTGAGATGGCGAAGAATAAATAACAATTTCTGGAAAGCAGAGGTTCTCTAGGAATCTTACTTTTCAAGGCAGAAATTACTTGGCATATATTGTGAGGGAGTCATACTTCCAAGAGGGATTTTCAAGAGGGATGTACAGAAAACAAAGCCCAACACTGCAAAAGGACAATGAACGGAATTCAATTCACTAAAAAGAGGGAAACTGTAGCTTCCCCAGAACAAGATTTACAATGTTAAGAACATCAGTATCCCTCTCTCTAATACTCTCTATCTACCAAGGAAGTTAATCTAATATAAAAGAAATCAGTCCCCTCAGACTCGGAACCATAAGGCTGCAGAAACAGAAACTCAGTAAGGAACGGTGTTAAAGGGTAAGGTTTCAAACCTGACAGTAGTCTCCTCTATATGTTCCCATTTCCTACCCACCATGGATACTGCTTTTTTCTGTTCTCTGCAGCATTAGGTTCCTCAGAAAGGAAACGGCATTTCACGATTTTCCTTACCAACAAGAGAACACTGACTCGTAATATTATAAAGCATGGTGGGAAAATATTTCTTTTCAAAAGACAGTTCACTTTGTATCTCATGGTACAGGTATTTTCAGACAATTTTTAGGCTCACAAAGTTTGACACGCATGTCCCCGCCCCTCCTTCCTCAACCTTCAAGCATCGTTTTCTCTTGCTGCATTTCTCTCTGTGACTAAGCATATTGGCAACTGGGTATAAACACTTCCTGGACACAGTGGGTTCTACTCCTAGGTGACGATTTAACCATTTGTTTAATTGCACAATGAAGCCCACAGATGGTACTGAAGAGAAACTACACTCCAGCATTTCCTGCTGAAAACACTGAACAACAGCTGATAAAAGCATTTTATCAAAACAGCACATTCAGCGTTCTCATTAACAAGAGAATTTCTATGCAAGACCATGCCATCCAGTGCAGAACTATATCTAGAAACTCACTAAGAGGTCACATGGGTGGCTGGCAGATCTGCAGAGGCTTTGATCAAGCAGAGCACAATCCAGCAGTCACATTTGTACAGGAAGAAGAAAACAGCGTCCACGCTAATATGTTGTTCTTGCTCTGGGTAAGTTCTGCGGCTTGACATCATCAGCTTCATATCACACACTAGACAATAGTCATTGACTCTACTCGACTCTTTCTTACAACCAGAAGTCATTTAATTCTGCTGTACAACAAAAGTCAGTGTGAGACTGACCTCTACTTACCTATAGGCTAATGACAGCACGCATCAATGCTAAGTAAAAAATACTTAGCACAGGACCTAGCTCAGGAAGACAAAGGTAAATCTAAATGCCAAAATGGAGTCTTCAGAAGTTCCTCTTGTGCTTCAAAGCAGGGTTACTACAAATGAACTGATTCTAGAAAACATTCTGGAAGGTCACTGTGTGAAAACTGAGTAATCTGAGACTTACCACAACAGATGCACAAGGAAAGGGCATGAAGTTCAGCATAAGGAGAGACTAATCAATCCTTGGCTTCCCAAACAAGTCCCTCACAATGACTTACATTAATAATTTGCTGTGGAAATTTTTATTTAAAGAAAAAACATTTCTAGAAATGTGGTCACAGAGACACTTGATATATAAAGAATTGTAGTTCCATCTAGTTCAACACAGTAGAATTGAGGATAGCAGTTCCTCACAACTGAATCTTCCAGTAATCAGTAGACTTTTATCCTTCCTACAGAGAGAGGAATTTTCTTTGGAAACAGAAAGGATTCCTGCTTCAGGATGTGCCTTTGCATGTACTAGTGAGACACGTATACAATGTTTGCTAACAAACTAAAAAGCACAAAATACTTGTTTTTTCTTTCTGAAGCTCGAAATCCAAAGCCAAATAAAGGATTTTCTACTTGCTTCTGCATAGGGCCTTGTGGATAATTTTGGGCAAGTATTTCTGACAAGATGCAAGTTTCTCACTTGATCGTCTGTCAAGAACTCAATTTTTAGAAGCTATGAATAGAAGTCAAACCAATATAATTGGTTTCCTAAAATAACAAGTCAATTCAGAACAATGTGCCACCAAGGCAATGGGAAACAAACAAAAAAATTAGTTCTAAAGTTCAACTTTACAAACTTTTGAAAGGTTATTCCTTCGGACAGAAATACTTGTGGAATGTTACTTGCAGAAGTACTTCTATACATTATCAACAGCAAAATATTTGGCTTGTGAAGAATCCACTGGAATTTCAGAAACGTGACAGCAAAAGACAAAGGCAAACAAAAATGCCTGCACCTAGAGCTAAGAATGGTCTTCAGTAGGGAAGGAGGAGCTAGGTTCCTTTGATGACTAATTTCATTAAAAATTAAGACCATCGAGTATTCATTCAGAGAACCACATCTACAATGGTGCTCCCCCATTACTGATCTCAGCAACAGAAACCCTGCTCATCTCAAATTCCCCTCGATTCTGTTGGCACAGGGACAGGGATCTCCCCGTGACAAGGCTGGGCAGATCAGACTCCAGCGTGGCCCGGCGGCCGCTCCCTGCGGCACCGCAGCCCCACTCCCCCAGCACAGGCCACGTTCAGGGCAGTTCTGTCCCAAGCGTTCCTGCCTGCTCAGGTCTCACGCCATGATAAACATGGCACATGGTCAAACAGAAAATCTGTGCAAGGGCTGCGGGAGCATAAAGCAAGGGGCCTGACTAATCCTAGGACTGGGCCCTACTCCCTGCTTACCTCCCGCAGTTGCAATCCTGGAATTAGCAAAATTCATACATCAACTATTTATGAGTTCTCATGCCCGGAGGATTGGATCTCCTAAAGCTGAGAGATAAGGGCTTCTGAAATTCTCAACTATGCCTGCAAGACTATATTGAGCCAGATTTCCCCCACATCTGCTAGAACGAAAGAATTTGTTCAGAGTAACAAGCGTCAGGATGACATGGGGTTCAACCACTAAATGGCAAAGCAACAGTCTCCCTGCCAACTTTTACCACTGGATGGGACTTGCCTCACTCTGATGCTTTCACAGGAATCAAAGTGAACAACAGAACCTGAAATAAAATTCAAGCAGCTTCAAAAAGAGCCAAAATCTTATAGATTCCCAACATTCCCTCTCAATAGTAACTCTTACAGATACTTGTATCTAACCACCACATGTGCATATAAAGAGCACATTTTCTCCATTACTCAGTTTTTCAACTCTCCACTTCACCTTCCAGAAAAAAATAAAATAACCCCCAATCTCTTCACCTTCCAGTACTAGTGACAGGAAATCTAGCATACTCCTCCTGTGAGCTTGTCCTTTATGTTCAGAAGCACTCAGCATACATCATTTCAGTCACCTTCTCAAAGGCGATGGACATGACAGACACAGTCCAGTCTTAAGGAGGATGAATCATGTTGGGCACTTCTCAACCACACACAGCTGCAGAAGAACACCCAGAGCAAGATAAGACATTTTAGGGAGCCACCCAGCCCCGTGGAACTCTGGTGTCTAATATTTTTCCAGCTTCTGTGCAATAGATGTCTCTAACCCTAGTCAGTTCTTCCAGTACAGATTCTCCCCAGCAAGGGTTATACAGCAGGAATTCCAAAGCAACAGGCTATGTACAGACATACTGGCATTCCCTCCAACAGAGAGGGGAAGAGGAGAAAATTCCTGAGGATGTGTATCCTCCACTCCAATTTCTGAATCTCAGCCTCCCCCTTGCCTTGGAATGAGCTCTACAAAGCAGTTATCTTTTATGTACATGGATCTCAGCTTCCCTTCCTTTGGGGAGTTTCCCCTCAAAAGTGACAGGCGAATCCCAGGACAGAGACAGGTGCTGGAGAGGGGGAGGTCTCCTTAGGATGACTCGACAGAAGCTAGAGAGCCTGCAGCTTTCTTCTTAGGGCGGGCTTTCACACTTCTTCCTGGGAGCTGTGGAGAAAGAAAAGGAGGCCTCTTAGGTTAGTTTAGTTTAACACCTCAATGTCTAACAAAGATACAAGAATGCAGAGTGAAAATAGGACAACACAACCACAACACAATGACCCTGTTTGTGTCATCCTTGTTTCAAAAAGGCCATTTAACCATTCCATTTGGTTTTGGCTAGGAAACAAACCACTCTGAGAATCTAGGAGGGGAAGACATTCTGAAACAGGACAAGTGTGATAATAAGATCAAGGTCAACTGTCTCAACAAAAGGTTAGATGCAGTGATATCTCTGACTGGTAACATTTACATAACTCTTCACTGCTATAACTTTTCTCTTGACTGCCATCCCAAATACTGTTCTCTGAAAGTTTTTCACTACCTCTGGGGCTGTTAAAAGAACACGTAGATGTAGCACTTTGGAACACGGTTTAGTGGTTGTGGTAGTGCTGGGTTGATAGTTAGACATGATGATCTTAGAGGTCTTTTCCAACCTCACTGATTCTATTTAGAAACATCTTGAACTAGTTTGCACACTTTGCTCCAGTGTCTTTCATTCTAGGTATTGGCAAGAAGAGTGCATTTATGATCTGCGATGCATTCAGCTCTTCCAGGCAATCTCTGAGATCCCAAAGACATGCTGCAATTCCTGTATCTGACCCAAAGATGCAAACAGACTGAGTATAAAAAACAATATGCCTGCAAAGGGCTTTACTGGAATTTCTGTATTCATAGTAAACAGCACAGAAGAATCAATACTGTCTTTTCATAATTTCACTTTAAAAATTCCTCACTAGGAAGCTTGGAATCAAATTTTGTTCCTCTTGTTTCCCTGCTCCTGTCTAACATGCCACAGAAGAAAGCAGAAGGGTCAACTCAAAAGTAAGCCTTGGGAATTAAAAAAAGATCCAGACTGATTTTAAATGCATCTTTAGACATCCATGTCCATCCTTGGAGATACTCAAAAGCTATCTGGACATGGCCCTGGGAAACAGGCTCTAGACAGCCTTGCTTGAGCAGTGGGGTTGGACCACATGACCTCCAGAGGTCCCCTACAACCTCAAGCATTCTGTGATTCTGTTACAAAGAGTAATTAATCACACGCAAAAATGTCCTGCACACTATAAAAGCAGGTTAACAGTATCACTTAAAATGATGCTCTAAGCAACTACTTTCCTCCAAACAGTTTAATATTTAGCCTGAAAAGCCTCACAATGTAAGCCAGTCATACAGCATTCTTTCCCTTAAATAAAAACAAACAAAAAAAAAAATGAGTCCAAGTTGAATCAAGCAAATAGGACCCCAACTTCACAAAACAGGAGAATCATTTTATCACCTATAAATCAAACCACAGTAAACATTCAATTAAGACTGAAAACCTGGAAAGCAGCACCTCAAAAAGCATATTCTATAAAACACATCAACAGTGGAAAAAAGAAAGACTGTTAAGCTAAAATGGCTCTTGGACACAACTGAATTTACTTTTGTGTATGGTTTGTTTTAATAAGAATACAGGCAACTCATGGCCCATCTGAATGGCTGTAGGTATCCTGGATCATCACAGGGGCATACAGAGGGGACAGCTCAAAGGTGACTAGTTACCCAAACTTCAGGACAAAACCCCAGGATAAGAAGGATTAGGGGGCATGGGGGGGGTGGTGTGGAGGGAGAAATTCCATGCTCCCCATATCCATTACGAAGAAATACAGGGAAGCCTAAGAGACTACAGAACTGTTTCATTTTAGGTAAGGAGAAAGCGTCTCTCCCAGCGAGAAACATCCCAGTAGATTATACATTCAGACTGTAACAGAGAGGAGGGAGGATATAGTTAACAAAACATTAAAAACACCTAATGCCCCACCCTTCCAAACAAAACCTGAATGAAACCAAAGATAGGTCCTGGCTTATGACAGAGTCTTAAAGGCAAGATAAAAATACAAAAGCTAGAGACTGGTACAGCAAGCAGACAGCAGCTCCTCTGTTGTAGAAATCAGCTAACAAAGACTTAGCCCAGCAAAGTTTATATAAATAGCTTTTCAAAGCGTCAAGACCATGACGCCCTAGTCTTCCAACAGAGCTCACAAATCAATGTCTGTGCTGGAAATAATTCACACATCAACTCACCTCAGCTTTCGTCACCTTTTTAGGAGTTTTGAGACTCTGAGTACGTTTAGGAAGTTTGTCTCCTGCATCTTCATCAGACGGGTCAGTTCTAATTTCGGATGGGGTTCCATTAGACCTCTGTGCCACACTGCTCTCCTCTCCTGAGGAGTAACAGGATGCTAAGGAATAACAGAGAAAGTATTAGCAAACAGTTTTGAAAAAATCACATGAAAACTAAAATAGCCCATCCTGAAGGACCACATGAAAGTGAGAATAATCCGAAACATACAGAGATGTGTTATTAGATGGGAAGGGACTAGGGTAGATGATGCAATTTCTCCCAGTTATTTGGAATCTTGAGACCCAATGCAGGAAAACTGCAGTCCTCCTGAGGGACCAGGAGCAGGCTGAAAGAAGGGCAACTAAGCTGGTGAAGGGTCTAGCGCACAAGTCTTGTGAGGAGCGGCTGAGGGAACTGGGGTTATTTAGTCTGAAGAAAAAGAGTCTAAGGGGTGACCTTACTGTTCTCCATAACTCCCTGAAAGGAGGTTGTAGAGAGGTGGGTCCCAGTCTCTTCTCACATGTAACAAGCAATAGGGCCAGAGGAAACGGCCTCGGGTAGCACCAAAGGAGGTTTAGGTTGGAGATTAGGAAAAATTTTGTCACTGAAAGGGTTCTCAAGGCCTGGAACAGGCTGCCCAGGGCAGTGGTCGAATCACCATCCCTGGAGGGGTTTAGAAGCTGTGTAGATACGGTGTTTAGGGACATGGTTTAGCAGTGGACTCAGCAGAGTTAGGTTAATGGTTGGACGTGACAATCTTCAAGCTTTTTTCCAACCTAAATGATTTTATGATTCCTCCCCTCCTGGTTCACCATACGAGGCCTCATATGGTGGCCGAGCAGAGATGTTTTATACCTGAATCCTCAATGGTTTCAAGAAGACTCCCAGTAGAGGGGTGCAGCTGTGGCTCATGGCTTCGCACGTGCACAGTATCTTCATCTCGGATCAGAGTGAGATCCTGCATGCTGAAACTTCGCAGCTTCTCAGACAAAACTCCCTGGCCCTAAGAGGAGATAAAAATTAGGGCTGAGGGCACTTTGCCTTTACCAGGATCATCTCACATGGGATCATTCAGGAGAAGAGGAAAGGTTCCCTGCTCTCCCCACAAGGGTAGTCTGAAGAAAACAGAGAAGGGAAAAAGAAAAGCATGCTCCCAAGACCAACATGGAAGAGATTAAAGTAAAACCCATTCCACTCTCCCTCTGCTTTTCAGAAGTCAAAGGATGGGGTCAACTGCAAGGAAAACTGGAGGAAAGGAAAAGTAGATTGATGCCAACAAGTACCAGCAGCCCTAACAGACCCACAGCACTTGTTGGCACACAAAACTCAACTGCTAGGGAATTCCCGAATGTTACAAAATGTGTTGCATTACCTTTGCAGCTGCAGTAACTGCTGCATTGGCAGCAAGGTTTAACCCTCTCTTGCCAACTCGCATCATGGTTTCATAGCTCTTGTCACGAGCCTGAGTAATGTATTCATCGATTTCCTAGGAAGGCAATGTGGAACATGGCATTTAGCTCCTTATTACAAACATGATCAAAGTCTTCCCACCATCACCCTTAAAAGCCCAAAGCTCATCTGGATGCTTTTTTCCAAGCATCAGCTGTCATTGATCTCGTAACTGCAGTTTCTCTGCTCCTTACAGAAAGCTTGAAAAGTTAACATTTACTTAAAGTATGGTCTTTCCAAATGGTAACAACTGAAACAAAGCAGGTGCTGCTTCTGACAGTCAGAAAACAGCATGGCTATAGAACACGCTGCTCCTGTCGTGATTCAAAGAGCTTAACTGCTGACAGTGACTCTAAGAGCTCATGACACTGGGTTAGCCAAACATGCTTTCTAAGCACTAGGCAAACTATTGGCTACACGAGTCTTCAGCAAGCTGCACTATGACATCATTGTCAGAGACAGAATCATTCTACATCCACTAATGTCAGCAAAAGCATGATTTCACACATTTCAGTTGTTATTGTGGGGTAACTGAATCAGAACTCAGTCAGCTCCCAGGCAGGATCTTCTAACAACAAGCGAGTACCTTCTCCTTATTGGAAAGTGTTGGATGCACAAACTTCCTGTAGAGGACACTGGAACCCTTGGTGTAAGGGGAAAGCAGCCAAATCACAAATGCGATTTTCAGCTCGAAATAAAAGGGAAACCTGAGAGAAAGAGGGAAATAAAAAAGAGAGAGAGAGAGAAAGATGGAGTACTGGAATCAAGTTCAGCAAGAGACAGATGGAGATAACTGGCAGAAAGAAGCACGGGCAGAAAGAGAAAAGGCAAGATAAAGGCTCAGAAACAAAAGAATTGATATATCAGGTCAGAACAGCAAGAACTCTCTTTGGAATCCTAGGACATACCTTCTTCGAGTCTCATTTAGTCTTTCATCCATAGCCATGAATACTCCATAAACAGGGCATCTCTCAGCCCTGCAAACACACCAAATTACAATCTGATAGCTGCTCTCATCATTCTGAAATTTGTTCACAGAGTATCCACTGGATAATACTACATTATTGTGGATAATATCACATTAGTTTCCCTGTAATTTTCCAAAGTTTTCAACTACATATCTCAATAAATCTTAAATTCCTGCCAAGGCTGGTGGCTCGGTTCAGTAGGTACTTCTCAGATAAGACAAAAAAGGAGAATCAGTGTAAAGGAAAGAGCAGGCAGCACGTAAATCTTTGATCTCTACCCTTACCCAATAAAGTCTCTGGAAGATACAGTAGCACAGATTGAAACAGGTGAATGCAAACTTTCTGTTGTCTCTATCATTAGTAAGAGACTTCCATTCAAAATTGAACAAGACGAAGCTCTTGTACTTTTTTTTTTGTCTGCTTTTCAAAGTTTATAAAGGAACAGGCAAAACGGCTGAGCACTTTTGTAAGGCATAAGCGGCCATATAATATTAATTTAAAAGATGCAACTTTTTACTAGTAGTCTTTCAGAGATGTATGCAAAGCTCAAGTGCTGAAGTAATGAAGATTAACGACAATTTGTCATTTTTGGAGGCTTCTGTGTTCCCAAGCATGACACACAGCACTGAAAGGATTAAGAACCTCCTTCCCCAGACTCCACTCCACCTCACCGCCACTAGTGGAATTGAATTTCATCATGCAAAACAGCACTCAGAGCACAGACATGCATCTAATCTACTCCTCCACACAACAGGCCTGCAAAGCAAAGCAGGTCCCTTCCTTGTACCATTTTTTTCCCAAGTGTCTTTTAGGTCACTATTTCTCAAACTTTGCCAGTTTAAATGAACAGCTTTTCAAAAATACTTTCTGGTATGAGTGGATGAAGATTTTCTTACAAATCTGGTATATTTATAGCTCTTTGCAAGTGCAGGAGACTAAACAATTAAGCAGCTACTATCCACAATATCTACAAACCTGCAGATTCCTCATAGGGATTGAGAACTCCTGAAGGAGGGACAGTTTATTGTTAGCATCCTAACACTACTCCTCTCTTCTTAAAACAAAACAAATCAACCACCCAAAGAAACATGCTGCCAAGGAACTCACCAAGACAGAACAATGTCTGTGAGTGTTTCTGCAGTGGTGAAAAAGGCAAACACAATCCAGTACATCATCCACTTCACCTGCAAAAGAGCAGTCACTCAGTAGGCATCCAGCAGAAGCCAAAAAAAGTGAAATTGTCTCCTCAGTAAAAATGACTCATCATCTCCACACATTAAGATGAATTCAACCACAAGAAAACATATATAATCAGTAATGGAGAGGGTCATATACTGAACTGTACATTATAGTTTGGGAAAATGTGTAGGATTTGGTTCTTGAAAGATCCTCCCAAAACCTTCTAAAGAATCCAGTACAATTATGCTGCCTCCAAACCCCTCCAACACAGTGGGCATTTGAAGACAGTGGTTAGTAGCCAAAATTTCCACTTTATTGTGCAACTTTTTCACAACATAAAGTAGCAAAACTTGCATCTTATGGTGCTCTCCTGACCCTTTTTTTTTTTTTTTTCTTCTTCTTCTCCCTTGTGTCATCAGTTTGGACAGGACCAGGTGTAGTTCACTTGACTTCTAAAGCAACTCTGCACAATGAATGGTTAACTCTTCAATGCAGCAACATAAATCAGGTCTTGTATGAAAAAAGAGTGTGAATAATGACAAATCAAACGTGGCAAATAGGGATCCCAATGGGAGAGGGATTTCAGAGAAGCTACATACCAGTAAATCTTACTTCACTATTAGGTAAAATGTAGGCAATAATAATAAAAGCAATTAGCAGATACACAGATACATGTAACATAATGAGGAACATGCTTTTTGCAGAAAAAATTAATCTCACACATGTAGCACAATCCTTAGAAGGCTTCCATAAGCTCTTGGTAGGCCGCTTCCTTTACAGGCTGGGTGTGTAGAGTTTCTACAAAGTGTCTAACAGGCCTAAATAAACAATCAAAGAAACTAAGCTGTCATGGATAAAAAGGAATGGACTCTTCAGGATTAACAAATGGTTAAAAGAGAAGAAATAAAGGATAAAAATAAATGGGCATCTTTCACAATGAGGAAAGCTACAAGTGGAATCCCACAGGAATCAATGTTGAGATCTGTGCTGCTCATCTTCATGAAAGATGAGGAAAAGACTGCAAATAATAAGATGACAGAATGTGTAGAAGATACTTTCCTACCCAGAGAATTAGGTATGAACTGACTAAAGTATTCAGAAAGGGATCTATACTGATTAATCTCCAGCTGATATTTTGTTGCTAAATGTCATGAAATACAAAGTAATAAACTTTTAGTATTGTCTTTTTCTTAGTATTGTAGTTACATAAATTAGCTCATGCCACTCGCACGTGGTCACTATAGACACTCTGATGAAACCATAATTCAGTGCTCATTACAGTTTTTCATTCTGCTAACAGAATGCTCAGGAATATAAGAAAAGGAACTAAGAACAGAAGTCGTTGCTTTGTTACTGTATAAATAAACTATGCGTTCCCATCTTTGATATTGGACACAAGTCTCTTGCCTTCTGCCTCCTGCCATCCTTCGCCCTACATTCTACAGCTAAAGAGAAAAAGAAATACAGCTCTTAAATAAACTAGAAGGATCCAACTTTTACCTCCAGAAGTCCCTGAAGTGCAGATGACCAGAAACTAGAAGAGCAGGAAAGCAGAGGGGAAGAATCAACACTATTTTTTCTTACAATGTTTGCAATCACAGATTACAGACATCTGAAAAAACTGAGGGTCAAACCAGGCTATAGTTTTTTCCAATCCATTAGAAAAAGAGTCAGGTCTTTGCTGCTCAAGTTGATGACCATCAACTTCAGCTAACTGCACATATGCAGCCTCCCCAGATTGCACCAAAACCTAAATAAACTCAGTAAATGCCAAAGCGTAATTGGGAGGTAGATTTGACCAGAGCTATAGATGACACATAAAAAGAAAGCAAGCACTTTTAAAACAGTCTGAGCTACTAGAGGCAGTTTGTTACAGCTGCTCAGGGACTTATCGCAAATTGATACCATGGTGGGGGAGAAGAGCAAGGTACCACTGATACCATGGAAGGGCTGCTCGCCAGCTCCATCTTCAACACACCACCACACCCTCCAGCACAGATAACACCTGTAAGATCTTTCTCCCCCACCAGTGTTGGTTCTTAAGCACAATGAGCAAGTAGTAATACACAGATGCAGCTGGCTTTGGAAACGTGCAGCACAGCATTCAAGGTTTCCACTGGCTTTCCACCCGAGTGACAGTCAGAACAGATGTGTGTTTAACAGACCTGGTTTTTCACTCTCTTTCTACTTATGCTGAGAAGGAAGAAGCCCTACGAAGATAAGCGAGCTAAGCAGTCCGACACCTAAATGCTTATTTCTGACGTAGACCTCTCAAGGAAAAATAATGGTTTTAGCAGTTCAAACATGTTTTCTTAAACCAATTCCAGTATTTTCACCAAAAATAAAAACAAGAGAAAATTTTCTACTGCAACAGTCCAGAACTATCTACTTCAAGAAAACAATATCAATGAAGCATTAAACCAACTCCAATAATGAATGCCACACTTTTCCACATTGGCCCTAGTAGAACTTACAACCAGGTGATTGACAGTACTGTTAAGATAACTTTATGATACTCAAATACTGTAGATCATTTCTTTTTCACCATGAGATTAGGACTGTCTTACAGCAATTTAGGTAACGTCTAGCCAAAAGAAAATTAGATCAATGCAATATTTACATTCTGCAAGGAAAGACAGAATTTATTTACCTCAACAGCTAACCCACCCACTACATAAGCAGATTTTGCTGTAAAGAATGCCTACAAATACAAAGGCTCCACCTTTACCAGGTCTTTGAGCTCTAGAACAAGCATGCTATAGGCTGTTTTTTAAAATGAGGGTTTATTTTTTCTTTCCCTTAAGTTCTCAGCAAAACAATTTAAAACTCTGAAAACTGAGTCTGTCTTAAAGTTAACACAGATTCTGTAACTGGAGCACAATCATTCCGTGACAGATGCTCATGAAAAAATATGCCCTGTCATGCAACAAATGAAGGTCATAAGGAACTGGAAGGGAAGAGGAAAAGACCAGAGATGCAATACTACTTCCTGCAAAACTTCACAGGTAACTACAAAGTCACAGGATCCTGCAATTATTCAGATAGTTTCTTTAATGATTTCTTTTCCGTTTCTAGCGTTATTACTAACAGACTTTGAAGTTTATTAAGGTTAATCTCTAATACTCAAAACACTATCAGTTATTGATGACTGCTGAGCACTCGTAATTTAACTTCTCTGCTGAGACCAGTAATAAAAAAAAGCCCTCACAGCCTAACACCTCAGCCAGATGTGGTTTGTAAAGCTATCTACTATGGGTGAGACTCTCACCTCAGCTGGCATCTCCTTCAAAAACCAGTGGGCTGAATTTTAACCCAAAACATAGCAAATGTCCAGGAAACCAGAGGACTGAAGCAGCATTACAAAAAAAAAAAAAAAAACCAAAACAAAAGACTGTATCCTGCAATCCTGACTGATGTGCCATTTTATAAGGAGCAAACGGAGCCAGCTGGATGAAGGGTCTCTGACTGTGCCACAAAGGAATACTGACAAGTGACGTGGTATTCACCCAGGTTACAGCTCTGTTCCATCAGGTCATTCCTCACTCCAGACAAATGGAAACTCATCCCACCCATAAGCCAAACGGTTCTTTGTCTCCCCCGATCAGCTTGTAACACCCCTTCTGTAAGAAGATGACACATCGACTTACTAAAAGGCATGTAGCATTTTAAACACGGTAATTGTGGACGGTGCAGACAGAGAAGGGGGAGCAACTCCAGAAAAGAAGAAGGGCGAAGTCTGGATCAACAGAAACACTGATCGTAGGCAAGGTTAACAGGAAGACACAAACCAGGCAAGATTACTCAGCCTTTTGGAAGAAAATAAATGTAACACTGAAAAAGCAGTAAAAGGACACAGAGTAAGGATAAAGTTGGAAGAAACAACTTGTTCTGGACTTTCATATGCTTCCAGACTGCCGTGTTGTCACCGCTTTCCCTTCCTCACTCAGCGTCTCCTGAGAAAAAACAGCCCGCGATTACGGCTCGAAACCTCCCATTTTAGCGAGCATCCTTCCTCGGCAACTTCTCTAGAGACGCTCTGCTCAGGCGGCGAGCCCGGGCCGCCGCCCCCGGGGAGCACCTCGCTCGCCTCAGGAGCGGGCTGAGGGCTTGGGGGGCAGC